GCCTTTGGAGGGTGTTTCAACACTCCGAAGGGTATAAATAGCGGGACCTTTCAATTAGAGTCGGATCCTTGCGATAAATGCAAGAGTGGCAACTGTAAAAAAAATCGAATACTTCATCATTTCTTAATAGTGATGGAGTAATACGACATGCACTAAACTAAGGACACGGGATATACTACAATAGATCAATTTACTGGTCGCAGTAGTGTTAGGTCCCGAACAGAGGAAAAAAAAAACTACTTTAAAGCTATCTGATCCTCCCCAAAGTACTTGAAACTTCTCTAAAATTAATATAATTTGCCCTTAAATCTGCTATTTTTCAATTTTAACTAGATGAACGCGTCATTGAGACGGTACTAATGGATATTTTTGGTCGCTATTGAAAATTTTCGATTGTCGATTGCTGTATGGGCAAAAATTAGGGCATTTAGGCCGACATTACATCCAATTCCCCTATTTATTGGAAAAAAAAATATATTGAAATACTTACGTTGCGTGGGTTAATTTGACCCCAAATTCAAATTGTCGTATCTTAACAAAATTTCAATGGCTTTAAAAGATTTCAAATGATTTGCAAAGTAAATTTAGTGGAATTCCTTTTTAAGTTATCAGACTTATTATACCCATAAAGTTACATATTTTGATGTTAGAGATGTTTATATCACGAGATCTCAACTACACAAGTGGAAATTAATACAAGGACACTTTAAAAAGCATAGCTCCTTCCAATTTTAAAAATCAGAGAAATTCTAAATCATGTACGTTTGGAAGCCACATTATAATTCTACAATATTAGCCTAAGAAAGAACCAATTGCATCATGTACCAATGAGAAATAAATGGAATTGTGTTTTTCTCCTTCGGAAATAAATATAAGGACGCCATACAAAAATGAAACATTATTTAGCATGTCAACAATTATTATGACACCAAAATAATCAAAAAGAAAATCATTGAATGATCAGCGATGATCACATAGGAGATACATAGATCTCCTATATGATCATCGCTGATCATCCAATGATGATTGTGATTTTTGAGAACTTCTAGCGATTGGATCTGGATTTTCAGAAATGAAGTTAAATGATTATTTGAACTAACTCTTTGATTTTTTTGGTGTCACAATAACTGTTGACATGCTAAATAATGTTTCGAAAATTACCAATTTCCCATCTTTTTTGTATGGCGTCCTTATATTTATTTCCGAAGGAGAAAATCACATTTCCATTTATTTCTCATACGTACATGATGCAATTGGTTCTTTCTTAGGCTCATATTGTAGCATGATAATGTGGCTTCCAACCACACATGATATAGAATTCCTCGCATTCTTAGATTTGGGAGGAGCCGTTGGTCTTTAAAGTGTCCTTATATTAATTTCCACAAGTGTACATAGGATGTTGCTTCCTTCTGCAAAGATTTACAATAATAGGAGGTCATCTAAAATACACATAATACAGATCCTGCTCATATGGATGGTTCCAGTCTTGGACAAAGTTGTTCAGATGGACAAGACCTCTGCTAAGGTAAAGAGTTTAGCTCAGAATTCACTCACCAGGCCGCGCTAGTGTGACATTAATTTTGAATTGTTTGCCTCATATTAACAAGATTTCTATCTTCCGTTTCCGTTTTCTGCAACGTTGTGCAGATGGACAAAATTTATTTTTTGGTAAAAAGTTCAGCAGAGAATCCACTCACCAGGTGGCGCTCGTGTAACATTCATTTTTAATTGATTGCCTTAACTTAACATCTTGACTAGATATAAGGCTCCCGTCTTGAGTAAAGTTGTTCAGATAGACTATACCTATTGTATGGTAAACAGTTTAGCTCAGAATTAACTCATCAGTTCACACTGTTGCTTCACGTCGTTTTGAGTTTTTTGGTTTCACTTCACAGCTTGCCTAGATAGAAGGTTTCTGTTTTCGGCCAAGCTTTTAAGTTGAACTAAAACAATAATATGGTAATTATCATAGTTTACTATTCACTCCCCAGACGCTATAGCTTTACTTTGTTTATATCGTTTGCTTTTATTTGGCATTTAACTAATCACAATATCGCTCTGTTCAGCAAACAGCAGAAAAAATCTATTAGTTGCAAACTCTGTTTATAAGATTCCTGTCATTCACATTTTAAAAAACACGCAATTCAATTTAAGCTTTTGTTTATTTTAAAATAATTTCCCAAAAATAAGATACGGTTCATATCAGTCACTTTTGATCATCAATAGTCTAAGATAGGTATTGTTCATGTGATCAACTTTACCCAAGACAGAAACCTTCTATCTAGTCAAGATGTTAAGTTAGGGTAAACAATGAAAAATCAATATCAAACTAGCGCAGTCTGGTGAGGGAAATCAGAATTAAAATGTGTTCCTTAAGTAAATTTTATGGCTACCCAAGAATCGAGACACATCTGATGACTCATCCCGGTAATTCCTGGAAATCTGCAAATACTTTTATCATTTATGTAACCAAAAAGGTTCATCAGAATGTTATTTTTTTAGCTTTCTGATGTTTATTTAATCATTCCTTGTATGTTCCTTTCCTTCGTTTCCCCAGGCATTTTCATCCCCCTTACCACGTTATTCTCTAATTCCTCCCGGAAAGTTATTTCGACTTCCCTCGGAAGCTTTTTCTGGCTTCGCTCGAAAGTTTGATCCGCCTTCTCCGACCAGGTTTTTCTAACTTCTTCCGGAATATTGTGCGAACTTTCTGATTTCCACCGAAAATTTCTTTCGACATCTCCCAGAAATCTTTTTCGACTGTCCTAAAAACCCGCTAGATACCACGAAAAGAAACTTGCGAATTTCTCCAGAAGTTTCTTCCAAACAACCTCAGAAAGATTCTTCGAGGATCGTCAGGAAGTTTCTTCTGTCTTCTCCAGGATGTTTCTTTAAACTTCCACCGGAAATATCGATCGAATTCACTTAGAACTTTATTTCATCTTTCTCTGCAAGTTTCTCCATGAGCTTCTAACGGTGTTTTTTTTCTATTCTATTGGATGGTTTTCCAAACTTCTGAAAATGGGTACTCCTGGAATTTTCTTCCGATTTCCGGAACCCCTCTGGCTTCCTCTGGAAGCGTCATTCGATTTTTCCGAAAGATTGATTAAATTCCCCAAGAAGTTTCTCAATATTATTCTTGGAAGTTACCCAGATGTTTTTCCAACTTTTCTTAGAATTCTCTTCAAACTTTCTTCAGACATTCCTGGCAAGGCCTTTCTTAGTTCAGAAGTTTAAGTTTTCGCTTTTGAAAACGGCATAAATATAAAATTAATTAAAATAGTAAGTAACGAGAAATGCCGATATTTTAAAACCTTTGAACCGATAAGCTTGAAAACAATCTGGCAACGCTGGGTGCAGCATGTTGTCATGTTCAGCCTTAACTCACAATAATATTAAGCTTTGTATAATAGCTGTAAATTTTTTCACCATAATCAACAATATTGCTAATATGCCGAGGAAGTACTTTAAAAAGCTTCTATGGACATTTTAAATTGTATGTTTTATACGGACAGTCCTTCATTTCGTAATATCTAAAAAATGTAGTCAAATTAAATTTTCCTGAGAATCGCCATATCTCCTGCACATACATTTAATTACCATCCCAACAACACCAGACGAGAACGAGAAGCACTGGTTCGCCGTCTCATAAACTAAACCAGTTCTACTCGCTCCCTATCGCTGCAGCTGAGCTCCGACTACAATGTGAGCGAACTCCTTTCTCTTTCTCATTCCCCATTCGCACACGGGACGGGGCCAGTGAGGGATTGAGAAATAAAAACAAACAAATCTCAACCGAAGTCACGGTCGGAGAATCCGCGGCGGTCGGTGAAGGTGAACAAACGTTGTAGCTGCTCTGCAACCACTCTGAATTAAGAGCACGACGCGAGACACCAACTAGCAAGCAAGCAAGTGGTTGGAAAATCCACCGACCAACAACAACCGAGTCACAACACATTTCATTCAGGTTTTCTTCACTTCAAGAGCCATCGCTTGAGCTTGAATACCTCTAGTTGTTACTACACTCATAAAAATCCAATGCTGCTGCAATAGAGAGTGGCATGCTTCAGAAGCAGCAAAGGCAGAGATGAGCATTCGTCCATAGTTGCTGCTGCTGCTGTCACCGGTTACAGTTGTCTGATATACCTTGTTTTATGAGGATGGTTGGAATGCAATCGGCGGAATACTTTAGAGCAAGTGATTTAAGTGTATCAACGGTATTTGATGGTGGCTCTCAGCTCGTGCGATTGAGATGACTCTTCGGTAATACTATTTCACGGTCGGATGGGAAAACAAAATTGAATTGTTCATGAGAATCTCCTAACAGCGTATGATTTATGATGATTTTTGCCATTCGCGTTTACTCAAAATTTAATGCATTGCAATCTTTTGAATATTACATTCCCATCTTCCCTCTCTGCCATGGTTCACCCTTTCAATTCATGCACACAAAAAAACTTAATTTGTTTTAATGATTTTCTTCCCTACGGGAAACCATTAAAAACAAACTCAAACACCCACCAAACATCGCAGACCAACAGCTGGTGCTGCTACTCCCCGGCATCAAAGTTCAAAGGAACGGGAAAGAAAAGCAAAACTTTCGCAGTAAACGTTGAAAAAGTTTTCCTCTCAAATTAAAAAAAAAAAGGAAAGAAATCGACAACTCCAACAGAAACAAACAAACAAAAAAGAAACGAAACCGCCGAAAGGTATGCATTCAGCGAGGCACATAAAATTACACCCACCCATACGGCTTCGGTGCAAGAGAAGAAAAGCTTCTTCGGTGGTTAAGCTCGCTTCCTTCTTGGAACTTGTACCCACCACCACCGCCGCCCAAGTTCAAGTTGAATCGAACAAGACATAACAGCTACTAATACATTAAAAATAGAAGAGACTGATAAGTATGTAGCTACTGCGCTGCGCTACGGGGGTTGTAAGAAACGGTAGGTTGGGACTTGGGAGGTATTGTCCTGAAATTTTCTATTTGCATCGGTACTTACGTATGCTGGAAACTTTCGGCTGCAACTTCGGTGATCCACCCGTCAGACTGAGATCACTCTGCGAGCTTTGCTGGCTGTCTTTGCTGTGGGTTCGACTGCTGAAAAAAAAAAAACGAAACGGAGCATAGATGAGAAATTTGCAACATTCACAGGACCGGTGCAATTAGAACGTGCAGAGATGGCGTTTACTAATCAAGGAAGAGCGATAGCGTGTCAGTCGGTGATAGCAGTGGAATTTCTGGGGTGGTCACTTTGGCGCAATATCTTGTTTACCTACATTTCATTATCTACCGTAGTTTGATAACAAAGTGGCATTTGGAAGCTCTAGGTTTGATTGGAAGTGTGAATCGTTAGATAAGGTGGAAAGGGGTGGATCCAGAACATTGACAGTGACATCTCAATGGGTTGTTGTGATTCAATGAGGAAATGATAGATTTCAATATTGAAGAATGGTATGTATGAATAACTTGAGTCAGCGCTTGGTGAATCCATCAATAACTGTTCGGTTGGGCTAATTATTCTGATTTGACAAACAAACATAGCTTGGTTCAAGATAGACTGAATTCTTGAACTCTTAACCTTTAGATAAACCCATGTAAGGCTTTCCAAATAACAGCAATTTAGATCCAAAGTGGAGGCATTTTCCAAACCATAACATCAACTATTGATTTCCCTCCTGCCCTTCATTCCGATCAGGACTATATCGTACACTATAGTTGAAACAGTTAACGATGTTATGTTTTGATGCACAGTCACGCATAACCTTGCAGCCCAGGCTGATAACGCCAACCCAACCCAACCGAACCAAACCAACAACAGCATAGCTCCAGGTTGAAATATTCTCGACTTCGTTTCACCTACCCCTGCCAGCCGTGCCGCCGTGTGTCAGCATTTCTAATTCCTACACAAACACAGCGAACACCGGAAAGTGATGCAATAAATCAATAATCAAACACCACACCAGTGTGGTAGAAGCAACGTTCTACCTTTACCGATGTTTCCATAGGTCAATCGGTTCAATACGGTGGAGAATTGCCCAACTAGGACTAGGTTTCTTCTGATTTACCACCTGAATTACTATAAATTTGCTATTATTGTTTCCAAGAATACCGGCGGCATACACGATAATCGTGTGCGTGCCTGCTTCAGCACACCAATCCGATGGACGGAGAATGGAATTTGTGTTGATACTATCTACACGTTCTATCGGAGAACATTGAACACCGCTGCTGCTGCTGCTGCTGCTGCTACAGCAGAACATTATTGAACGATAGGCCTTGAGGATTTGACCCTGCGGATTCAATCTCGTTGAGATCAGAGAATCATAAGGCCGAGGTTTTGTCCTCCGCATTAGAAATAGCTCGATTTGTGTCGTTGATTTCCCAAGGCAAATCAGAGAATTTCACAAATTATAAATTATTTTCCAATTGTATATCAAACTGCGTAGAATCTTGTAGACATAAAAGTGTTTATAAAAGACGCGTCATCATTATCATCATCATCATCATCAGTAGCAGCAGCAGCCGGATAAAGCCGAGCATCACCCCGCTCGAAGCTGTGCAATGAAAGCGAAACTTGCCACCAGTCAAGGCAAAGTTTGTGTCTACGTCTACGCTATAGGTTGCTAATAGTATAATCATATGAAGTCAATTTAGCGTGAAATCAATTATCATTATTATTAGTCGGTTGGATTGATGATAGACGCATACACGTGCCGAGGCTGGTCCCACCCTCGAAGGTACAATAAAAACGGTTTACATGTTCGTTTGTAGGTAAAGACTGGAACGCGCGAAAATTGGTCGACCAAAAAATCGTTTTTTTTCAGTCAAAGTTCATATCATTTGGTAGTTCAATTCATATATTTAAAGGAAAAAATGTTCGTTTATTCTTTTGGTTTGCCAAATCCGAACTGCCGTGCCTTCCGCTTAAACCCTTCCATTAAATTTTGCACAGTGGTCTGTTGCTCGCTTTCCATGGATTTATTAGTTTTTTTTTTAGATTCCGTTTGACCAAGGCCCAATACCGTTCGATAGGGTGAAGTTCTGGGCTGTTGGGAGGGTAGTGGTCTTTGGGTACCACAACCACGTTGTTCGCATCGTACCATTCCATTGTCTTTTTCCCATAGTGGCAGCTCACCAAGTCCGACCAGAACAGCACAGATCTATTATGTTGCTTTAGGAATGGTAGCAGCCTCTTTTCCCGGCACTACTGGACGTAGATCTCTTGATTGATGGTTCCCGTTGTAATGAAAAAGCCGCTTTTTAGACCACACGTGCATATGGCCTGCCAGACGAGATATTTGTTTCGGGAACTTCGATGGTTTGATGGTTTTGAAAATTTCAGCCACCTTCCCTTTTCCTGATGCGGTATAAAACTCCTGTCCCGAAAGCTGCTTGAAATCCGCCTTCACATAAGTTTCGTCGTCCATGACGACACTGTCGAACTTTGTGAGCAGATTATTGGCCCACTGCACAGTAGTATGGGAAACATTGAGCTTGCCAGCGACGTCCCCGATGGAGAGGTTAGGATTCCGCTTTTATTTCACCGCCACCTTCTTCGTCGTCGCTGCCACGTCCGGATTACGATTGTCACCGCTTCCAGGCTTAGTGGCAGTCGATAGACACTCCCCGAACACATTTAAAACGTTTGTCACGGTCGATTTGGCCACATCCAGCCATTTTGCCAACTTGGCGTGTGAGAACGTCGGATTCTCTTGTTGATCGAGCTGCACACGCTGCTCTTCTTGCTTGGACGTCATTTTGAAAACTGGAGAGCAAACGGTGAAAACTCATCTATGATCATTGTACATACACTCAACTTCCAAATGCAGCATTCCAGGTTTTTTTTTATGCATTTTTAACAGAATTACACCAATTTGAAGTTGACCAATTTTTGCGCGTTCCAGACTTTAAATAGGTTTGTATGGATAAATTGCGCTCTCAGCTCGAATGTGTACAGGTACATGTTGATGATTAGTTGTAGAAGAGACACGACGTGAACTAACTGACAATAAGTGATTATATCAGATTGGCGACGCTGTAAATGTTAATATAAGTCTCGTTGCCATGAACGGAAGGGTGGCGCAAATCATTCTTCCTAAATTTTAGCTCATTTTGTTGCGATCTGAAAGTACACATGTCCTTTGGATTGAGGTGTGCGGCGATTCAAAAATGGTCGGCGGCGACGTATGAGGTAATTGTGCTCGGCGGCGTCGGCGTCATGCCGCTAGCACTTTAAGGCGGCGGTGGCGTAAATCGGCGTGGCATTTTTTGCGCCAATTCGATTAAAATCACAACATTTTAACATCAATGCAATTTGAAACATTTGTTCACAGATAGCTCATTTGGTTAAAAATGGCTAAGTTGTAATTTTCCCGAGAATTTTTTATTGGGTATCAAGCTGGAGCTGCGTGACAGCTTAGTTTTCAAGACTTGACCCATTAGAATAAATTTTGCTTCTATCTTTGACAATACAGCAGAAGGACTAGCCTATGATGGCAGCTTGAACACTGGATTCCGTGTGTATTGTTTCAAGATAGTTATGGAAAAAATGCTGTGAGTTGTGCGCGTAGATACATCCGCGTAGTAATCCGATTTAATAAGTAAAGCCGTTTCGAACGAAATATCTAAATTATGTAAGTTATGAAAACCAAAATAAATGTAATAGCCTATGTTGGCAAGTTGATTAATTTTGGTTTCCTCCCTAGATATTCTACTTATTTACTACTGAGCTTAGTATCAAATTAGTTACTTAAATTAGTTAAATTAGTAAACAACGTATCAATCATTTCAAGATTTTGCGACCGTACCGAACAAGTTCTATACTACAGCTAGCTAGCTTCTTTAGTTTTCGAGAATAATGAGTATAAACATTCATATTAAGAACACGTGACTTCGTTTTATATTTATCTGTTTGGTAGCTTTTGAACTAAAATATCGTACCATACGTATAATCTTTTCGTTTATGGGGTAATCATAGATATATTTGATGTTTTCTGCTCGATATGCCCAGAATGGGCAATTAAACCGAAGAAGTCCTCTCCCCTATTGCACTTTATGCGTATAATATATCACTGAGGCAAATAGACTTAAGAATTTCATAAATGAACGACACATGCGAATTTTATAGGCGCGATTTATGAAGGTAGCTCTTATTCGCCTTTAGTCATTCCGTTTTCCCATTGACAGACGAGTGGTCCAGACACAGGACCCGTAATCTCATCGTCTATGGTTCGGTTCTAGTCTGCTCCGTTTAATTATTTTGTTGTCGACTTTATTTTTCATAAGGCAAATCTATGAAATTCATAACGATTACCTATGGCTAAAATTCATAAGTGGTTCTTATGGAATTCTTACGTTCTTTTGCCTCAGTGTATACGAGTTCAACTTCGTACTATTTATCCAGCCAACAACTGCTCTTCTTGTCTTCTCTGTGGTGATGTTGTGATGGTGGAGATGGCATGCTTTTTTACTCGAAATATTTTCGGTTTTATCAATACAAGTAAGCCGCAGAAAAAGTAAACGAAATCGAGTTATCGTTCTATGAGCGCTTCTTATTTGTCTTTAGCCTCATCATTTTCTTTAGCATAGATAGAGTGGAGGATAAAGCACAGGTCTGACAAACGTAAAGTTCATGGTTCGAGTCGAGTGTGTCTTTTAAAATTTGTTTGACATGATTTATTCCTTCCAACGATAAACACTCACAGACTATCATTCTCTAACGAAACTAGCTACATATCATGTACGAATCTATTTTGTTGTAAAAAACAACGAATGAATTCGTAAAACAAACGAGCGATTTCTCTTTTTTTTTTTTTTGGTTTGTTTTTTCCGTCGATCTTGTTTTCCGTGCTGAGCACCAATGCTACCGACGTGCCAGGAAGGCAGCTCCCACACCTGGACCCTACCTATCGACCCATCAACTCATGAACCGGGGACCAACGGCATTACTTCCCATCCGAAGGAAGGCGTGATCAGAGATGTTATGCCTCAGAACATCCTGGCGGCGCCGACTGGGATTGAACCCAGGCCTGCTGGGGTGAGAGGTAATCACGCTTACCACTACACCACCGGCGCCGTTGAGCGATTTCTCTGTATGA